GGTTTCAAAATCCACTAGAAAACCTATCCAAATTCTACCTCTATATTCGATCTTCCTTCAATCTCACTACTCGGGTTTTTGGGTGTACTTCCTTTGTCTATGTTCATAATCATAACTGTGGGAAGTTAGACCCTCGTGCTCTTAAGTGTGTCTTCGTGGGGTACTCATCTACTCAAAAGAGTTACAAATGTTACTATCCACCTACTAGAAAACTTTGTCTCAGCCGATGTTACATTTGTTGAAAATATGCCCCATTTCACCACTCCTTATCTTCAGGAGGAGTTACATACACTTGAAGATAAGGAGTCGAACTTTCCACCCCTAGAGTCATCCAAATCTGAGTCGTCCAAATCTGAATCTCAAACATCCCAAAAGTCAATTCCACAATCTGATGGGTTGGAAGAAAAAAGGGAAGGAGATGGTAAAATCTTCGACAGGTTCTGGTTTGACCAAGTGTATGCAAGGAAAGGAGATCCCATCGTGACTACAAGGCAAGAACAATCATCTGAACCAAGCTCCAGAAATGAGGTAAACTCTAGAAATGAGGTAACAACGAGTGAATCAAATCTGAGTTCTACACCACCAATAGATCATCCTTCTACTAACCCTGAGTCACCTTGTCCCGAGCCTCTTAGCCTTGACCAGGACCTACACCTGCCTATTGCTGTAAGAAAAAAGATCTGAGAATACACAAGAAGACCTCTATACCCATTGTCTCACTTTGTGTCTTATGAGAAGTTTTCCCCAAGCCATCAAAGTTTCCTTTCCACCTTAAATATAGTTTCCAATCCCAGCTCATTGTCTGAAGCATTATCAAAGAAAGAATGGAGACTTTCTATGGAAGCAGAAATGGATGCATTAGAGAAGAATGGTACTTGGGAATTGGTTAATTTACAGAAGGGTAAGAAAGCAATGGGCTATAAGTGGGTATATGCAGTAAAATTTAAGGCAGATTGGTCCCTAGAACGCTACAAGGCGAGATTAGTCGCGAAAGGATATACACAGACATATAGAGTAGATTATCAAGAAACGTTTGCTCTAGTAGCAAAGATGAATACGGTGAGGATTTTGCTGTCCTTGGCTGTTATTTTTTATTGGGAATTGTAGCAGTACGATGTGAAGAATGCCTTCCTTCATGGAAAATTAGAAGAGGAGATTTATATGAGCATTCCATCGGGATTTAGTGGGGTTGACAAAAACAATGTTTGTCGATTAGAAAAGGCATTATATGGGCTGAAACAATCCCCACGTGCTTGGTTTGGACGATTTGCTAAGGTGATGCGAACTAGTGGATACAAGCAAAGTCAAGGAGATCACATGTTTTTCATCGAGCATTCGGCCTCAGGGGGAGTCACTGTTTTAGTTGTGTACGTGGATGATATTATAGTGACAGGAAACGATGAAGCAGAGAAGGAGGCCTTGAAGCGATGTCCAACCAAGGAATTTGAAATAAAAGATTTAGGAAGATTGAAGTATTTCCTTGGAATTGAGGTGGCTTGATCAAGGCGGGGAATTTTTATTTCTCAACGAAAGTATGTTACAGACCTGCTCAAGGAAACAGGCATGGCGGCGAGCAAACCGGTTGGAACTCCCATTGAACAAAATTACAGATTGAGGCTCTTGGAGATAAGGCAACGAATAAAGAGATGTACCAAAGACTTGTTGGGAAACTTATCTATCTCGCACATACTAGGTCAGATATAGCGTACTCAGCCAGTGTTATCACATTCCCAAATTCCTAAATTCCCAAACTTGACAATCAGACAGTTTTTTTTTTCTTTTTCTATGCTAGCGATATTGTGGTATTGGTATAAATTTTGTATGAAAGTATAATAATGTTAATGTTAAATATTTAGCTCTTATTTTGTATGAAAATACGTTTTCTTGCTATATTATATAAGAATTTGTTTTTTCTCATTTGGTTAGCCTCTATATTGTTGAGGATATGCTTTTGTTCAGGTGTATTGTACATCTATTATTATATACTACAGTAGATACCTGAACCTGCCTAGTTGTATGCTTAGCACGGTTCTAGAGCTTTGTTGTGCGGTTCTGGTGCTTTGCGTAAAGCTGACAGCCTGACATGTGGTATC